GCCGCAGGAGGTCGTGGGGTCAATCCCAGACACTGAGAGATGTTGACTACCTCGCCTGGTACACAGGAGGTCGTGGGTTCAATCCCAGACACTGAGAGATGTTGACTACCTCGCCTGGTCCGCAGGAGGTCGTGGGTTCAATCCCAGACACTAAGAGATGTTGACTACCTCGCCTGGTACACAGGAGGTCATGGGTTTAATCCCAGCCACTGAGAGATGTTGACTACCTCGCCTGTTACGCAGGAGGTCGTGGGTTCAATCCCAGACATTGAAAGATGTTGACTACCTCACCTGGTACACAGGAGGGCGTGGGTTCAATCCCAGACACTGAGAGATGTTGACTACCTCACCTGGTACACAGGAATGCGTGGGTTCAATCCCAGACACTGAGAGATGTTGACTACCTTGCCTGGTACACAGGAGGTCGTGGGTTCAATCCCAGACACTGAGAGATGTTGACTACCTCACCTGGTACACAGGAGGTCGTGGATTCAATCCCAGACACTGAGAGATGTTGACTACCTCGCCTGGTACGCAGGAGGTTGTGGGGTCAATCCCAGACACTGAGAGATGTTGACTACCTCGCCTGGTACGCAGGAGGTCGTGGGTTCAATCCCAGACACTGAGAGATGTTGACTACCTCGCCTGGTACGCAGGAGGTCGTGGGTTCAATCCCAGACACTGAGAGATGTTGACTACCTCGCCTGGTACGCAGGAGGTCGTGGGTTCAATCCCAGACACTAAGAGATGTTGACTACCTCGCCTGATACGGATGAGGTCGTGGGTTCAATCCCAGACACTGAGAGATGTTGACTACCTCGCCAGGTACGCAGGAGTTCGTGGGTTCAATCCCAGACACTGAGAGATGTTGACTACCTCGCCAGGTACGCAGGAGTTCGTGGGTTCAATCCCAGACACTGAGAGATGTTGACTACCTCGCCTGGTACACAGGACGTCGTGGATTCAATCCCAGACACTGAGAGATGTTGACTACCTCGCGTGGTACACAGGAGGGCGTGGCTTCAATCACAGACACTGAGAGATGTTGACTACCTCGCCTGGTACGCAGGAGGTCGTGGGTTCAATCCAGGACACTGAGAGATGTCGACTACCTCGCCTGGTACACAGGAGGTCGTGGGTTCAATCCAGGACACTGAGAGATGTTGACTACCTCACCTGCCACCAACGTCACACCAACGTTGTTCCACCGCCTCCAACCGCTTACCAACGTCCGCGGGCGTTTGTGTTTTGACCCAACGTTCACCCAACGTCGCGTGCAGGTCACGTGGCCAGCGAGAGAACATGGAGTCGGTGGACATCCTGGACTCGCTGCTGCGAACCAGCGACTACAAGAAGACCATCCGTCCCAACTTCGCAGGCGAGGACACCCCACGTGACGCACACGGGGGGAGGGGGGGTCACGTGGGGGGGGGGGGTCACGGGGGGTGGGGGTCAGGTGGCTATGAGATGTTGACTACCTCGCCTGGTCTACAGGAGATGGTGGGTTTCTATCTATCATCATCATCACGGTGGCTAGGAGATGTTGACTACCTCGCCTGGTGTACAAGAGATGGTGGGTTTCTCTCTATCATCATCATCACGGTGGCTATGAGATGTTGACTACCTCACCTGGTGTACAGGAGATGGTGGGTTTCTCTCTATCATCATCATCATCATCACGGTGGCTAGGAGATGTTGACTACCTCGCTTGTTGTACAAGGGATGGTGGGTTTCTCTCTATCATCATCATCATCATCACGGTTGCTATGAGATGTTGACTACCTCGCCTGGTCTACAGGAGATGGTGGGTTTCTCTCTATCATCATCATCATCACGGTGGCTGGGAGATGTTGACTACCTCGCCTCGTCTACAGGAGATGTTTGGTTTCTCTCAATCACTGTCATCATCATCACGGTGGCTATGAGATGTTAACTACCTCGCCTGGTGTACAGGAGATGGTGGATTTCTCTCTATCATCATCATCATCATGGTAGCTATGAGATGTTGACTACCTCGCCTGGTCTACAGGAGATGGTGGGTTTCTCTGTATCATCATCATCATCATCATGGTGGCTAGGAGATGTTGACTACCTCGCCTGGTATACAGGAGATGGTGGGTTTCTCTCTATCATCACCATCATCATCACGGTGGCTGGGAGATGTTGACTACCTCGCCTGGTCTACAGGAGATGGTTGGTTTCTCTCAATCACTGTCATCATCATCACGGTGGCTATGAGATGTTGACTACCTCGCCTGGTGTACAGGAGATGGTGGATTTCTCTCTATCATCATCATCATCATGGTGGCTATGAGATGTTGACTACCTCGCCTGGTGTACAGGAGATTGTGGGTTTCTCTCAATCACTGCCATCATCATCACGGTGGCTATGAGATGTTGACTACCTCGCCTGGTGTACAGGAGATGGTGGGTTTCTCTCTATCACTGTCATCATCATCACGGTGGCTATGAGATGATGACTACCTCGCCTGGTCTACATGAGATGGTGGGTTTCTCTCTATCACTGTCATCATCATCACGGTGGCTATGAGATGTTGACTACCTCGCCTGGTCTACAGGAGATGGTGGGTTTCTCTCAATCATTGCCATCATCATCACGGTGGCTAGGAGATGTTGACTACCTCGCCTGGTGTACAGGAGATGGTGGGTTTCTCTCAATCATCATCATCATCACGGTGGCTAGGAGATTTTCACTACCTCGCCTGGTCTACAGGAGATGGTGGGTTTCTCTCTATCACTGTGATCATCATCATCACGGTGATAGAAGATGTTGACTACCTTGCCTGATCTACAGGAAATGGTGGGAATATCTCAATCACTGTCATCATCATCATGGCGGCTAGGAGATGTTGACTACCTCGCCTGGTCTACAGGAGATGGTGGGTTTCTCTCTATCATAATCATCACGGTGGCTATGAGATGTTGACTACCACGCCTGGTGTACAGGAGATGATGGGTTTCTATCAATCACTGTCATCATCACCATGGTGACTATGAGATGTTGACTACCTCACCTGGTGTACAAGAGATGGTGGGTTTCTCTCTAGCATCATCATCATCACGGTGGCTATGAGATGTTGACTACCTCGCCTGGTCTACAGGAGATGGTGGGTTTCTCTCTATCATCATCATCATCATGGTGGCTAGGAGATGTTGACTACCTCGCCTGGTATACAGGAGATGGTGAGTTTCTCTCTATCATAATCATCACGGTGGCGATGAGATGTTGACTACCTCGCCTGGTGTACAGGAGATGGTGGGTTTCTCTCTCTCACTGCCATCATCATCACGGTGGCTAGGAGATGTTGACTACCTCGCCTGGTATACAGGAGATGGTGAGTTTCTCTCTATCATAATCATCACGGTGGCGATGAGATGTTGACTACCTTGCCTGGTGCACAGGAGATGGTGGGTTTCTCTATATCAACATCATCATCATCATGGTGGCTATGAGATGATGACTACCTTGCCTGGTCTACAGGAGATGGTGGGTTTCTCTCTATCACTGCCATCATCATCACGGTGGCTAGGAGATGTTGACTACCTCGCCGCGTCTACAGGAGATGGTGGGTTTCTCTCTATCAAAATCATTACGTTGCCTATGAGATGTTGACTACCTCGCCTGGTCTACAGGAGATGGTGGGTTTCTCTGTATCACTGTCATCATCATCACGGTGATAGAAGATGTTGACTACCTTGCCTGATCTACAGGAAATGGTGGGAATATCTCAATCACTGTCATCATCATCATGGCGGCTAGGAGATGTTGACTACCTCGCCTGGTCTACAGGAGCTGGTGGGTTTCTCTCTATCATAATCATCACGGTGGCTATGTGATGATGACTACCTCGCCTGATGTACAGGAGATGGTGGGTTTCTCTCAATCACTGTCATCATCATCATCACCGTGGCTAGGAGACGTTGACTACCTGGCCTAGTAGGCAGGAGATGGTGGGTTTCTCTTTATCATCATCATCATCACGGTGGCTATGATATGTTTACTACCTCGCCTGGTGTACAGGAGATGGTGGGTTTCTCTCTATCACTGTCATCATCATCACCGTGGCTAGGAGACGTTGACTACCTCGCTTGGTCTACAGGAGATGGTGGGTTTCTCTCAATCACTGTCATCATCATCACCGTGGCTAGGAGACGTTGACTACCTCGCTTGGTCTACAGGAGATGGTGGGTTTCTCTCAATCACTGTCATCATCATCATCATCATCGTGGCTTGGAGACGTTGACTATCTGGCCTAGTAGGCAGGAGATGGTGGGTTACTTCAAACCACGCTGATGATGATTGCAGAGAGATGCAGACTCCAAATCTACAGTGGCAGGCATCGTCAGGGTCGGGATCGAACCCACGACTTCCTGTGTACCAGGCGAGGTAGTAAACATCTTTCAGTGTCTGGTATTGAACCCACGACCTCCCGTGCACCAGGCGAGGTTGTCAACATCTCTCAGTGTCTTGACACACGACCTCCTGCGGACCAGGCGAGGTAGTCAACATCTCTCAGTGTCTGGGATTGAACCTACGACCTCCTGCGTATGTGCGAGCTTGTCAACAACTCTCAGTGTCTGGAATTGAACCCACGACCTCCCGTGTACCAGGCGTAGTAGGTAACATCTCTCAGTGTCTGGGAATGAACCCAGGACCTCCTGCGTACCAGGCGAGGTAGTCAACATCTCTCAGTGTCTGGGATTGAACTCACGACCTCCAAGGTACTAGGCGAGGTAGTCAACATCTCTCAGTGTCTGGGATTGAACCCACGACCTCCCGTTAACGAGGCGAGGTAGTCAACATCTCTCTGTCTGGGATTGAACCCACGACCTCCTGCGTACCAGGCGAGGTAGTCAACATCTCTCAGGGTCCTGAATTGAACCCACGACCTCCTGTGTAACAGGCGAGGTAGTCAACATCTCTCAGTGTCTGGGATTGAACCCACGACCTCCAAGGTACCAGGCGAGGTAGTCAACATCTCTCAGTGTCTGGGATTGAACCCACATTCGATATCGACTAACAGAGGTTACTCATGACAATGTCTACCCCCACAGGCGATCCCGTAGTGGTGAATATCAGCATCTACCTCAAGAGCTTCAGTGATATCCAGGAGTCCACCATGGTGATTCAACCACGTCCACCACTTTCACTCACTACCTACACAACTATCACTCACTACCTACACAACTATCACTCACTACCTACACAATTATCACTCACTACCTACACAACTATCACTCACTACCTACAACTATCACTCACTACCTACACAACTATCACTCACTACCTACACAACTATCACTCACTACCTACACAACTATCACTCACTACCTACACAACTATCACTCATTACTTACACAACTATCACTCACTACCTACAACTATCACTCACTACCAACACAACTATCACTCACTACCTACAACTATCACTCACTACCTACAACTATCACTCACTACCTGCACAACTATCATTCAATACCTACAACTATCACTCACTACCTACACAACTATCACTCACTACCTACACAACTATCACTCACTACCTACACAACTATCACTCACTACCTACACAATTATCACTCACTACCTACACAACTATCACTCATTACTTACACAACTATCACTCACTACCTACAGAACTATCACTCACACCTACACAACTATCACTCACTACCTACACAACTATCACTCACTACTTACACAACTATCACTCATTACTTACACAACTATCACTCATTACTTACAGAACTATCACTCACTACCTACACAACTATCACTCACTACCTACAACTATCACTCACTACTTACACAACTATCACTCACTACTTACACAACTATCACTCATTACTTACACAACTATCACTCACAACCTACACAACTATCACTCACTACCTACAACTATCACTCACTACCTACACAACTATCACTCACTACCTACAACTATCACTCACTACCTACACAACTATCACTCATTACTTACACAACTATCACTCACTACCTACACAACTATCACACACTAACTACAACTATCACTCACTACCTACACAACTATCACTCACTAACTACAACTATCACTCACTATCTACACAACTATCACTCACTACCTACAACTATCACTAGCTACCTACACAACTATCACTCACTACCGACACAACTATCACTCACTACCTACACAACTATCACTCATTACATACACAACTATCACTCACTACCTACACAACTATCACTCACTACCTACACAACTATCAATCACTACCTGCAACTATCACTCACTACCTACACAACTATCACTCACTACCTACACTACTATCACTCACTACCTACACAACTATCACTCACTACCTACACAACTATCACTCACTACCTACAACCACCACCACCACCCACCACCACCACCCACCACCCACCACCACCACCCACCACCCACCACCACTACTACCACCACAACCACCACTACCGACAATAATAACAACCGCCATTCGCCACTAAGTGGCGGTGACATCACCACAATGCTTGTGCCAGGCCAGGTGCACCTTGAGGCCACGTGAAGTGTCGACCGCCCGCTGGTAGGAGGTCACGAGGCAGACCCAGCAGGTGCCACGGGTCGACTGACTGAGATGACTGGCTGATGCACCACCTGTGCCCCCTACTATGCCAACCTGCTGTGTTTTAGCCACCCGACGCTCCGCTCGTTGTTGTGAGCGTCGTTCCTCCGCCTTCCGTTGTTGTTGGAGGGCGACTGCCTCCAACTGCCCAGTAGCGTCCTTCACGAGCCTCCTCCACAGAGGCCGATCTTGACACCGCTGGTACCAGTCATTGGCAAGTCCACTCAGCTCCACGTCCTCCTGTACCACGTCACTCCATCTCTTCTCTAGCCCGTGCCGCGCCCGCTTAGCCCCCTCGATCCGGCCGAACAAAAGCTGTTTCGGCATGCGGTGGCTGGGCATGCGGGCTAAATGACCGAGCCAGCGCAGCCTTGCCTGCCGGAGGAGCTCACCGATGGGACCTTGCCGAGATCTTTCAAGGATTTGTGAGCTCCTCACACAATCCAGCCTGGTTAAACCCAGGATGGATCGTAGGCAGGCCAGCCTAAAAGTTTCTAAACGGCGAAGATGCTCCATTAGGGGGGGTCCACGTTTCGCAAGTGTAGGGAAGGGAGGGAATGACCGTGGCCGAGAAGACCTGAAGCTTCCTGCGGAGCGACAGACCAGGTAGCTTCCACACAGCGTTACGCAACCGATGAAAAGATATTGCCGATCGACTGATTCGGAGTGAGACCTCTGCTGTTAAACTGGAGCCGGTCACGAGCACACTGCCCAGGTATAGGGAAACTCTCCACTCTCTCCACAACTGCCCCATCGCCGATTTTTTAGTTGTTGCGGTGGATGGTCCGATGGTCCAAAATACCCAGGCTGGTGCTTAGTTATGGTGGGGGTGACTTCTTCCATTATTTGAGGCACTGCAGCCTCAGCAGCGTCATCCCCACTTTGTGCCACTTTGTTCTCTTAGCTGAGGGATTTTCCCTCCCCCAGGAACTCACGGAAATGCTCAGCAAATGTGCAAAACTGTTCCTGGTGGTCGGAGATTGGAACAACGTTTTTCCCCCTAATGATAGTAATAGGTGTGGTGCTGCAGGTTACTTTTTTGATGGAGTTAAATAGAGATTTGCGATCGCGGGCCACTGAGGCAGACTCCATCTCCTCAGCAACCCGCGACCACCACCCATCCTTGCAGCGCCTCACGGCTCTCCCAACCTTCGAGCGAAGGCTGCGGTAAGCCTCCTCATTCTCTGACGTGGAATTCTGTAGCCGATGACAATGGGCCTGTCGCTTTTTCTCAACCATCCTGAACACCTCCTCTGTCAGTCAGGGTCTCTGGGGAGGTCTGGACCGCTACCCAAAGCAGCCATTGCAGCTGCATGAGTCACAGTCCTAAACCTCGCCCATTTACCCTCGACATCAGGAGTAGTGGGTGACGATGCCAACCCCAGCCGCAAGCGATGATTAAATTCTCACTTGCAACTTTCATCAGCTAACTGAGACCAGGCCACCTTAGGTTGGAATGGGGTCCTGGGTATACACCCACCACCAGAGTGGAAGAATGGCAGGCGCATTTTACAGATGACTAGTCGATGGTCAGAGAGCAGATCAGCTCCACGGTAGGTCCTGGTGTCAAGGACATGGGCTCGCATCCGCTGGTCCATCACTATGTAGTCCAGCAGATGTTCTTGCTTGGACCCGGAATGCATCCATGATGTTGTGTGGATGCGCCGATGCCGGAACAGTGTGTTTGTAATTACAAGCACGTGGGCTGCACAAAAATCTAACAGCCTCCTACCGTTGTCATTGAGCTGATCTGGCCCATGCCCTCCAATCACTCCAGGCCAGGTGCCAGCATCATGACCAACTCGGGCATTGAAGTCACCCAACAAGATGACTCTATCCCGAGGGGCCATTTTAGCCAGCACCTGTAACAGGAGGTCATAGAAGGCATCTGACTCGGCGGCTTTGCCTGCATCCCTCCACGGATGTTCGTCTTTGGTGGGGCATAAGTAACCACGACCACCAATCCTCGCCTCCGATTGATGGGAAGGCGAGCCCAAAGTAGCCTGGGGCTTACAGCTTCCCACACCTCACCACCACGCTCCCACGCCCCCTTCATTCTTTTGTTCAAAAGAAGAGCCACACCCTGTTGTTTGGCAGTCTCCTGTCCCGAGTAGAGGACTGTCCACCCCTCATGGTAGCAGGAGCCAGAATCGGTCCACCGGACCTCCTGAATGCCACAGAGATCCAGGCGGTACTGGTCCAGCTCCCGACAGAGGAGTGGCAGCCTCTCCTCTGCAAGTGAGCGTTCGAACATTCCACGTGGCCACACGAAGTGGCTTTTCGTTGTTTCTGGAGAAGCCCCGAGGGCAGAGATTCAATCTACTGGCTCCACCAATTGGTGTTTGGCCAGGAGAAGTCATAGATGCCTGTCCCCCTGGGTCCTCCGGCACAAGCTTATTTGTTTCATATTTAAGTTTAAGTCGTAGTTTCGTGGTAATTTTTTGAAGGTGGAGGGGTTACCAGCCCCTCGCACCCGTCCAGAGCTCCCGTTTAGCCCCTGTGGTGGTCACAGACGCCATGAGAGGAGAGGCCAATCGGAATTGGACCTCCCCCCACAGCACTGTCCACGACAGGGTTTCCCGTCCGGCACCGCGAGGAGGTAGGGGGTTGTTTTGCCGGACTCGTCCACACTCACACTCTGACACACACACACCACCACCACCCACCACCACCCACACGAGTGGTATCGGCGTGGCGAGGCCAGGACTACCACCACCACCACCAGCATCACCACCACCACCAGTACCACCACCACCACCACCACCCACACGAGTGGTGTCGGCGTGGCGAGGCCAGGACTACCACCACCACCACCAGCATCACCACCACCACCAGTACCACCACCACCACCACCACCCACACGAGTGGTGTCGGCGTGGCGAGGCCAGGACTACCACCGCCAACCACCTCCACCCACCACCACCACCACCACCCACATGAGTGGTATCGGCGTGGCGAGGCCAGGACTACCGGGTGACCCTCACGCTGTGGCAGCGCTGGAACGACGACCGCCTGCGCTACAGCAGCCGCGACTTCAACGCCACCGACCTGGACGAGTCCAACGCGGCCTTCATGTGGAAGCCCGACCTCTACTTTGGCAACGAGGAGAGCGCCACGGTGCACACCGTCACCACGCCCAACAGCATGCTGCGGATACACGACAACGGGGACGTCCTCTACTCCATGAGGTCTCACACAGCTACACACTCACACAGCTACACACACAGCTACACACTCACACCGTCACCACGCCCAACAGCATGCTGCGGATACACGACAACGGGGACGTCCTCTACTCCATGAGGTCTCACACAGCTACACACTCACACAGCTACACACACAGCTACACACTCACACCGTCACCACGCCCAACAGCATGCTGCGGATACACGACAACGGGGACGTGCTCTACTCCATGAGGTCTCACACAGCTACACATTTACTCAGCTACTCACTCAGCTACACACTCACTCAGCTACTCACTCACTTAGCTACACACTCAGCTACACACTCACTCATTCAGCTACACACTCACTCAGCTACTCACTCACTTAGCTACACACTCAACTACTCACTCAACCACCCACTTAGCTACCCACTCAGCTACACACTCACACAGCTACACACTCACTCACCTACCCACTCTGCTACCCACTCACCCTCCGTGCCATACGGGCGAATCCACACTCCTCCCGTCTTTTCGCGAGCTCTGGAGAGGGGTGATGGTGGGGGTGGTGGTGGTGTGGTGAGGCCTAGTCCTATCTGGTCTGGCACCCGATAGAAAGAGAGAGTGTGTGGGGACCGCTACGTGCAACTAGACGCTTCGTGAAGCAACGCCTGGAGTCCTCCTCCCAGCTCCCACGTGCATGCCAGCAACCAACCACCCAGGGCTACTGCGGCCTTACCAAGGGAGGGTTAGCCTCCCCTCCCCGGCCAGTGGGCGGAGACTCTCGCTTTGCGCACTCTTCGCTGGCGCCAGGGAGGGGTTTTCTCAGCCTCGGGCGTCTCCCGCTCAGGCCCGAACCCTCCCGTAGTTCCGTTCAACGTTCATTTGCGTGTGGCCCTGCGTGAGCCATTAGGCCAGGGAGTGGGGCCAAAATTGTTTCCACTCGGTTATAGAAATTTTGACGGCGGGGGCCCCGGGCCAGGAAACAGACGGACGTGACGGAGAGTTTGCGCGAACTGAATATAAAAATGGCGCGCGTATGAAAAAAAAAATCATCACCACAGCGGAAAGGGTTTGGCCTTTGACGGGTAAGCAAAGCGTTTATTTGCACGGCGATTGAACAAATTTCACGATCGCGGACGATGCGAAGGACACGCCTTAACTCCCGGTCAAAGCGCGCCACCTAATGGTGGAAATGTTGGGGGGGGCATTACAGGCGAAAGGGGAAAAATTTAACTTAACAACAACACCTGATGACGACCGTTTGTGTTATGGTCGAAACGTCGTGAGAATTATTTTTTATTGTTTTATATATATTTTATTGTTTTTATTGTTTCCCTTCAACGCGGTGACTTTACCGAAAGAGTTAAGAATAACGATAAATGGTTCGGCGGGCCGGATTAAGAAGCCCAACCGGCCGTGCCTTTGCCCCGCGTCTGCATTAGGCTCTTGAGTCGGATGCAACCTCAACAAACACAAAACAGAAACGCGAACACGAAAAAACATCTTAAAGTGACTTTGTGCGTGCGTGTGATTGTGTGCAAAACGGAAAGTCCAGGGGGGGGGGAAAAAAATAAATAAACGTCAAAATATTCCTGAAAAAAATCACTGTCGCACCACCAACGCTGCGTGCAAAAAAAAATCCCAGCGGGATTGCAAACTCAAACAAACAACAACAACAACCACAACAACAACAACCACAACAACAACAACAACCACAACAACCACAACAACAAGACAGCTAAGATTAAGGCCACGTAGGTAAAAAAATATATATATAAAACAGCAACAGAATAGAACCAAAGAGTACGGATCCCTTGCAGTCACGAAAGCTTCCAATCTAGAATAGAAGGGGAAGAGGTGTTCGCGTGATTCGCCATCGCCAATCACGTGACCCCCCCCCCCACCAAACAAAGACAAAGACAAAGATCCCCCATAATAGCCTTAACAGACTGTCGGGGCAAGTGCTGTTAGCGAGCACCTATGAAGGCCGGAACGGTACACGAGGGGGTGGGTGGCCAGCACCACGCCCGACCGCCTTTGTCTCCTTAGTGGCAATGTTTACACACCGCACCAGGTACTCATTTGAGGCTGAGTCGACCTAGGGGAGGCCCGGGACCGGTTCAGATAATCGTCACTGGTGTTGGCCGTTAGCGGGAATCGAACCCGAGTCGCCAGGTTCATAGCGCAGCGCGCTAACCGCTACACTATCGCTCCCCCCACCAAACACCCCCCCCCCCACCTACCACCCCTCCCCACCCAGCCCCACCCAGCCCCACCCCTCCCATTTTATCCGGGTGTCCGGATACACGTGGACGGACATCCGCAGACATACACGACAATATTAATCCCCAGCCTCCTGTGAGAATTAATCCCGGTTGGGCTTCCCGTCCACCACGCTCGCTACCGCTAATATAAAGATAAACCTGAGGTGTGGCAGTGGTGGGAGTGGTCAGGCCTCCGATTTGGAGTCAATTGGTCTCGACACATGTTGGGGGGAGGGGAGGGAATGGCGCGGTTCTTAGCATGAAGACTCACACACAGAGAGAGAGAGAGAGAGGAGCTCACTCACTCAGCTACACACTCACTCGACGTGTCATCATCGTCATCACGTGTCATCATCGTCACCACGTGTCATCATCATCATTACCACGTGTCATCATCATCACGTGTCATCATCGTCATCACCACGTGTCATCGTCATCATCACGTGTCATCATCACCACCACGTGTCATCATCATCATCATCACCACCACGTGTCATCATCGTCACCACGTGTTATCATCATCATCACCACGTGTCATCATCATCACCACGTATCATCGTCATCACCACGTGTCATCATCATCATCACGTGTCATCATCATCACCACGTGTCATCATCATCACCACGTGTGATCATCATCACCACGTGTGATCATCGTCACCACGTGTCATCACCACCACGTGTCATCATCGTCCCCACGTGTCATCATCATCACCACGTGTCATCATCATCACGTGTCATCATCACCACCACGTGTCATCATCACCACGTGTCATCATCATCACCACGTGTCATCATCATCACGTGTCACCACCACCCCCACGTGTCACCACCCCACGTGTCACCACCCCCACGTGTCACCACCCCACGTGTCACCACCCCACGTGTCACCACCCCACGTGTCTCTCCGTCTCGTGCCTTCAGGCTGACGCTCACCCTCAGCTGCCCCATGGACCTCCGCACGTTCCCCATGGACACGCAAACCTGTCCCTTGCTCATCACCAGCGGTGAGTGTCTAGTGTAGTGTATAGTGTAGTGTATAGTGTAGTGTATAGTGTAGTGTATAGTGTAGTGTATAGTGTAGTGTATAGTAGTGTAGTACCTGTCCCTTGCACATCACCAGCGGTGAGTGTATAGTGTAGTGTATAGTGTAGTGTATAGTGTAGTGTATAGTGTATAGTGTAGTGTATAGTGTAGTGTAGTGTATAGTGTAGTGTAGTGTATAGTGTAGTGTATAGTGTATAGTAGTGTAGTGTATAGTGTAGTGTATAGTGTAGTAGTGTATAGTGTAGTGTAGTACCTGTCCCTTGCTCATCACCAGCGGTGAGTGTCTAGTGTAGTGTATAGTGTAGTGTATAGTGTAGTGTATAGTGTAGTGTATAGTGTAGTGTATGGTGTAGTGTATAGTGTAGTGTATAGTGTAGTGTATAGTGTAGTGATTAGTGTAGTGTATGGTGTAGTGTAGTGTATAGTGTAGTGTATAGTGTAGTGTATAGTAGTGTAGTACCTGTCCCTTGCTCATCACCAGCGGTGAGTGTCTAGTGTAGTGTGTAGTGTATAGTGTAGTGTATAGTGTAGTGTAGTGTATAGTGTAGTGTATAGTGTAGTGTGTAGTGTAGTGTATAGTGTAGTGTATAGTGTAGTGTCTAGTGTAGTGTGTAGTGTAGTGTATAGTGTAGTGTATAGTGTAGTGTGTAGTGTAGTGTATAGTGTATAGTGTAGTGTATAGTGTAGTGTATAGTGTAGTGTATAGTAGTGTAGTGTATAGTGCAGTGTATAGTGTAGTGTATAGTAGTGTAGTGTAGTGTATAGTGTAGTGTATAGTGTAGTGTATAGTGTAGTGTATAGTGTATAGTAGTGTAGTACCTGTCCCTTGCTCATCACCAGCGGTGAGTGTCTAGTGTAGTGTGTAGTGTAGTGTATAGTGTAGTGTATAGTGTGTAGTGTAGTGTATAGTAGTGTAGTGTATAGTGTAGTGTATAGTGTAGTGTATAGTGTAGTGTAGTGTATAGTGTAGTGTATAGTGTAGTGTATAGTGTAGTGTATAGTGTAGTGTAGTGTATAGTGTAGTGGATAGTGTAGTGCATAGTGTAGTGTAGTTTATAGTGTAGTGTATAGTGTAGTGTATAGTGTAGTGTATAGTAGTGTATAGTGTAGTGTATAGTGTAGTGTATAGTAGTGAAGTACCTGTCCCTTGCTCATCACCAGCGGTGAGTGTCTAGTGTAGTGTATAGTGTAGTGTATAGTGTAGTGTATAGTAGTGTAGTGTATAGTAGTGTATAGTGTAGTGTTGTGTATAGTAGTGTAGTGTATAGTGTAGTGTATAGTGTAGTGTAGTATATAGTGTAGTGTATAGTGTAGTGTATAGTGTAGTGTATAGTGTAGTGTATAGTGTAGTGTATAGTGTAGTGTAGTACCTGTCCCTTGCTCATCACCAGCGGTGAGTGTCTAGTGTAGTGTGTAGTGTAGTATATAGTGTAGTGTATAGTGTAGTGTAGAGTGTAGTGTAGTGTATAGTGTAGTGTATAGTAGTGTAGTGTATAGTGTAGTGTATAGTGTATAGTAGTGTAGTACCTGTCCCTTGCTCATCACCAGCGGTGAGTGTCTAGTGGTGTGTAGTGTATAGTGTAGTGTATAGTAGTGTAGTGTATAGTGTAGTGTATAGTGTAGTGTATAGTGTAGTGTATAGTAGTGTAGTGTATAGTGTAGTGTATAGTGTAGTGTATAGTGTAGTGTAGTGTATAGTGTAGTGTATAGTAGTGTAGTACCTGTCCCTTGCTCATCACCAGCGTTGAGTGTCTAGTGTGGTGTATAGTGTAGTGTATAGTGTAGTGTATAGTGTAGTGTAGTGTATAGTGTAGTGTATAGTGTAGTGTATAGTGTAGTGTGTAGTGTAGTGTATAGTGTAGTGTATAGTGTAGTGTATAGTGTAGTGTGTAGTGTAGTGTATAGTGTATAGTAGTGTAGTGTATAGTGTAGTGTAGTGTGTAGTGTATAGTGTAGTGTATAGTGTAGTGTATAGTGTATAGTAGTGTAGTGTATAGTGTAGTGTATAGTGTAGTGTATAGTGTAGTGTAGTGTATAGTGTAGTGTATATTGTTGTGTATAGTGTAGTGTATAGTGTAGTGTATAGTGTAGTGTATAGTAGTGTATAGTGTAGTGTAGTATATAGTGTAGTGTATAGTGTAGTGTAGTGTATAGTGTATAGTAGTGTAGTACCTACCCCTTGCTCATCACCAGCGGTGAGTGTCTAGTGTAGTGTATAGTGTAGTGTATAGTGTAGTGTATAGTGTAGTGTGTATAGTGGTGTAGTGTATAGTGTAGTGTATAGTGTATAGTGTAGTGTATAGTGTATAGTAGTGTATAGTGTAGTGTATAGTAGTGTAGTGTATAGTGTAGTGTATAGTAGTGTAGTGTATAGTAGTGTATAGTGTAGTATAGTGTGTGTGTATAGTGTAGTGTATAGTGTAGTGTATAGTGTAGTGTATAGTGTAGTGTATAGTGTAGTGTATAGTATAGTGTATAGTAGTGTAGTGTATAGTGTAGTGTATAGTGTAGTGTATAGTGTAGTGTATAGTGTAGTGTATAGTGTAGTGTATAGTGTAGTGTATAGTGTAGTGTAGTGTATAGTAGTATAGTGTATAGTGTAGTGTATAGTGTAGTGTATAGTGTGGTGTATAGTGTAGTGTATAGTGTATAGTAGTGTATAGTAGTGTAGTGTATAGTGTAGTGTATAGTGTAGTGTAGCGTATAGTGTATAGTGTAGTGTATATTGTAGTGTATAGTGTAGTGTAATGTATAGTTATGTAGTGTATAGTAGTGTAGTATATAATGTAGTGTATAGTAGTGTAGTGTGTAGTGTAGTGTATAGTGTAGTGTATAGTGTAGTAGTGTATAGTGTATTGTGTAGTGATTAGTGTAGTGTATAGTGTAGTGTATAGTGTAGTGTATAGTAGTGTAGTGTATAGTGTAGTATATAGTGTAGTGTATAGTGGAGTGTGTAGTGTAGTGTATAGTGTAGTGTAGTACCTACCCCTTACTCATCACCAGTGGTGAGTGTCTAGTGTAGTGTATAGTGTAGTGTATAGTGTAGTGTATAGTGTAGTGTATAGTGTAGTGTATAGTGTAGTGTATAGTGTAGTGCAGTGTGTAGTGTAGTGTATAATGTAGTGTATAGTGTAGTGTATAGTGTAGTGTATAGTGTATAGTGTAGTGTATAGTGTAGTGTAGTGTATAGTGTAGTGTAGTGTATAGTGTAGTGTATAGTGTATAGTAGTGTAGTGTATAGTGTAGTGTATAGTGTAGTAGTGTATAGTGTAGTGTAGTACCTGTCCCTTGCTCATCACCAGCGGTGAGTGTCTAGTGTAGTGTATAGTGTAGTGTATAGTGTAGTGTATAGTGTAGTGTATAGTGTAGTGTATGGTGTAGTGTATAGTGTAGTGTATAGTGTAGTGTATAGTGTAGTGATTAGTGTAGTGTATGGTGTAGTGTAGTGTATAGTGTAGTGTATAGTGTAGTGTATAGTAGTGTAGTACCTGTCCCTTGCTCATCACCAGCGGTGAGTGTCTAGTGTAGTGTGTAGTGTATAGTGTAGTGTATAGTGTAGTGTAGTGTATAGTGTAGTGTATAGTGTAGTGTGTAGTGTAGTGTATAGTGTAGTGTATAGTGTAGTGTCTAGTGTAGTGTGTAGTGTAGTGTATAGTGTAGTGTATAGTGTAGTGTGTAGTGTAGTGTATAGTGTATAGTGTAGTGTATAGTGTAGTGTATAGTGTAGTGTATAGTAGTGTAGTGTATAGTGCAGTGTATAGTGTAGTGTATAGTAGTGTAGTGTAGTGTATAGTGTAGTGTATAGTGTAGTGTATAGTGTAGTGTATAGTGTATAGTAGTGTAGTACCTGTCCCTTGCTCATCACCAGCGGTGAGTGTCTAGTGTAGTGTGTAGTGTAGTGTATAGTGTAGTGTATAGTGTGTAGTGTAGTGTATAGTAGTGTAGTGTATAGTGTAGTGTATAGTGTAGTGTATAGTGTAGTGTAGTGTATAGTGTAGTGTATAGTGTAGTGTATAGTGTAGTGTATAGTGTAGTGTAGTGTATAGTGTAGTGGATAGTGTAGTGCATAGTGTAGTGTAGTTTATAGTGTAGTGTATAGTGTAGTGTATAGTGTAGTGTATAGTAGTGTATAGTGTAGTGTATAGTGTAGTGTATAGTAGTGAAGTACCTGTCCCTTGCTCATCACCAGCGGTGAGTGTCTAGTGTAGTGTATAGTGTAGTGTATAGTGTAGTGTATAGTAGTGTAGTGTATAGTAGTGTATAGTGTAGTGTTGTGTATAGTAGTGTAGTGTATAGTGTAGTGTATAGTGTAGTGTAGTATATAGTGTAGTGTATAGTGTAGTGTATAGTGTAGTGTATAGTGTAGTGTATAGTGTAGTGTATAGTGTAGTGTAGTACCTGTCCCTTGCTCATCACCAGCGGTGAGTGTCTAGTGTAGTGTGTAGTGTAGTATATAGTGTAGTGTATAGTGTAGTGTAGAGTGTAGTGTAGTGTATAGTGTAGTGTATAGTAGTGTAGTGTATAGTGTAGTGTATAGTGTATAGTAGTGTAGTACCTGTCCCTTGCTCATCACCAGCGGTGAGTGTCTAGTGGTGTGTAGTGTATAGTGTAGTGTATAGTAGTGTAGTGTATAGTGTAGTGTATAGTGTAGTGTATAGTGTAGTGTATAGTAGTGTAGTGTATAGTGTAGTGTATAGTGTAGTGTATAGTGTAGTGTAGTGTATAGTGTAGTGTATAGTAGTGTAGTACCTGTCCCTTGCTCATCACCAGCGTTGAGTGTCTAGTGTGGTGTATAGTGTAGTGTATAGTGTAGTGTATAGTGTAGTGTAGTGTATAGTGTAGTGTATAGTGTAGTGTATAGTGTAGTGTGTAGTGTAGTGTATAGTGTAGTGTATAGTGTAGTGTATAGTGTAGTGTGTAGTGTAGTGTATAGTGTATAGTAGTGTAGTGTATAGTGTAGTGTAGTGTGTAGTGTATAGTGTAGTGTATAGTGTAGTGTATAGTGTATAGTAGTGTAGTGTATAGTGTAGTGTATAGTGTAGTGTATAGTGTAGTGTAGTGTATAGTGTAGTGTATATTGTTGTGTATAGTGTAGTGTATAGTGTAGTGTATAGTGTAGTGTATAGTAGTGTATAGTGTAGTGTAGTATATAGTGTAGTGTATAGTGTAGTGTAGTGTATAGTGTATAGTAGTGTAGTACCTACCCCTTGCTCATCACCAGCGGTGAGTGTCTAGTGTAGTGTATAGTGTAGTGTATAGTGTAGTGTATAGTGTAGTGTGTATAGTGGTGTAGTGTATAGTGTAGTGTATAGTGTATAGTGTAGTGTATAGTGTATAGTAGTGTATAGTGTAGTGTATAGTAGTGTAGTGTATAGTGTAGTGTATAGTAGTGTAGTGTATAGTAGTGTATAGTGTAGTATAGTGTGTGTGTATAGTGTAGTGTATAGTGTAGTGTATAGTGTAGTGTATAGTGTAGTGTATAGTGTAGTGTATAGTATAGTGTATAGTAGTGTAGTGTATAGTGTAGTGTATAGTGTAGTGTATAGTGTAGTGTATAGTGTAGTGTATAGTGTAGTGTATAGTGTAGTGTATAGTGTAGTGTAGTGTATAGTAGTATAGTGTATAGTGTAGTGTATAGTGTAGTGTATAGTGTGGTGTATAGTGTAGTGTATAGTGTATAGTAGTGTATAGTAGTGTAGTGTATAGTGTAGTGTATAGTGTAGTGTAGCGTATAGTGTATAGTGTAGTGTATATTGTAGTGTATAGTGTAGTGTAATGCATAGTTATGTAGTGTATAGTAGTGTAGTATATAATGTAGTGTATAGTAGTGTAGTGTGTAGTGTAGTGTATAGTGTAGTGTATAGTGTAGTAGTGTATAGTGTATTGTGTAGTGATTAGTGTAGTGTATAGTGTAGTGTATAGTGTAGTGTATAGTAGTGTAGTGTATAGTGTAGTATATAGTGTAGTGTATAGTGGAGTGTGTAGTGTAGTGTATAGTGTAGTGTAGTACCTACCCCTTACTCATCACCAGTGGTGAGTGTCTAGTGTAGTGTATAGTGTAGTGTATAGTGTAGTGTATAGTGTAGTGTATAGTGTAGTGTATAGTGTAGTGTATAGTGTAGTGCAGTGTGTAGTGTAGTGTATAATGTAGTGTATAGTGTAGTGTATAGTGTAGTGTATAGTGTAGTGTGTAGTGTATAGTGTAGTGTGGTGTATAGTGTGGTGTATAGTGTAGTGTATAGTGGTTCTAAAGTCTCTCTCCCTCCCTCCCCTCCCTCCCTCCCCTCCCTCCCCTCCACAACTCCAGCGAGCTACACGGAGCGAGATATGCTTCTCCGCTGGAGGGTGGAGCAAGCCATCGTGTTGGCTGACGACCTCAGCATCCCCCAGTTCGAGTTGGACCGCAGGATCACCCTGGAGGACTGCACAGAGACCTACCGCACAGGTGGCGGACGGCGATAGCAACGCGTGACGCTCCCTTGCCCCGTTCCCTCGTTCAATTCTTCATTCATTCATTCATTCCTTCATTCATTCATTCATTCGCTCGCACGGATGGTGATGCCTTGGCACGGCTATAGGCGCGCTGGTGGTGGTGGTGTGTGTGTCTGTGGAGGAGGCTCGTGAAGGACGCTGCTACTGGGCAGTTGGAGGTAGTCGCCCTCCAGCAACAACGGAGGGCGGAGGAGCGACGCTCACAACAACGAGCGGAGCGCCGGGTGGCTAAAGCACAGCGGGTTGGCACAGTAGGGGGCAACAGGTGGTGCATCAGCCAGTCATCTCAGTCAGTCGACCCGTGGCACCTGGGTCTGCCCCGTGACCTCCTGCCAGCGGGCGTTCGACACTTCACGTGGCCTCAGGGTGCACATAGCCTGGCACAAGCGTCGTGGTGACGTCACCGCCACTTAGTGGCGAATGGCGGTTGTTGTTGTTGTTGTGTGTGTGTGCGTGCGTACGTACGGTTATTGCAGAGACTCGATGGAGAATCTCGATTTGAAATCCACACCCTTCGGTTATTTTTGGTCAAGTCCACGTAGGCATAGGATGAAATAAATGACGACGTTTCGGACGCAAGGCCAAGCGTCCATGACTTATTGGTGGATGATGTTGGTCGTGAATGCCTCCTACTAGTACCGCTGCTACTACGACTTCTGTGTTAAAGTAACTAACCGATTTGAAATAGCGGTCCATAGGACGGGCTTTTTTTGGGGGGGGGGAGGTGTAGGGGGGGGAGCGGTTAGATCGTATGATTATATAAATGTGTCCATGTTACATTCTTGGTTCTTTCGGTAAAGTCACGTAGAGGGGAAATAATAAAATAAAACAATTAAATAATAAAAAGTATAAAGCAATTAAATAATAAAAATAATAAACAAATATAAAACTATTGTTTTATACAAATATAAAACTATTGTTTTATATTTGTTTATTATTTTATTGTTTCCCTTCTACGTGATGGTGACTTTACAATTATAAAACAATTTTTTTAATATTTTTATTATTTTATTGTTTCGCTTCTACGTGGTGGTGACTTTATCGAAAGAACCAAGAATAATAATTTTATTGTTTTATATTTTTATTATTTTATTGTTTCCCCTATCTACGTGGTGGTAACTTTACCGAAAGAACCAAGAATAATAATTTTATTGTTTTACAATAATTTTATTGTTTTATATTTTTTATTATTTTATTGTTTCCCTTCTACGTGGTGGTGACTTTACCGAAAGAACCAAGAATAATAATACAATTATTGTTTTACAATAATTTTATTGTTTTATATTTTTATTATTTTATTGTTTCCCTATCTATGCGCCAGTGACTTTACCGAAAGAACCAAGAATAATAATTTTATTGTTTTACAATAATTTTATTGTTTTATATTTTTATTATTTTATTGTTTCCCTTCTACGCGGTGGTGACTTTACCGAAAGAACCAAGAATAATAATTTTATTGTTTTACAATAATTTTATTGTTTTATATTTTTATTATTTTATTGTTTCCCTTCTACATGGTGGTGACTTTACCGAAAGAACCAAGAATAATAATTTTATTGTTTTACAATAATTTTATTGTTTTATATTTTTATTATTTTATTGTTTCCCCTATCTACGTGGTGGTGACTTTACCGAAAGAACCAAGAATAATAATTTTATTGTTTTATATTTGTATTATTTTATTGTTTCCCTTCTACGTGGTGGTGACTTTACCGAAAGAACCCAGAACACGAATCCCTGCAGTGACGAAAAGCTTTCAATCGAACTTTAACGGGGGGGGGGGGGGGGGGGGGTGAGTTTGTCACGTAAGCAGACACGTGCCAATCTTTGGATGCTTGCGCTGAAGCAACTTCGACAGGAAATGGAACTCAAATAACAACGACGACAACAATAACAACAACAACAATAATAATAGATCAGGAAGTTCCGATCGCAATGCAAGCGATCGTCATTGTGTACGGATGAGTGCGTTGTGTTGCTTTATATTTCTACACCGCCACCCACCCACCCACCTCCAACGCCAATCCACGGTACGTCAGTTCAGTTTCAGGTTTCAGCTCAGCTCAGTTTTATTTTGGGTATAGGCCCCAGGCACCGCGTGCGTGTGTGTGTGTGGTGTGAGCCATCCGGCTCTTGAACCCGGGCAGTTGAAACCGCAACAAACACACAAAAAACCACGAACAAGAGAATTTTTTTTTTATATGTATCTTAAAGCGACTATGTGCGTGTGTGCGCGCGTGCGTGACTGTGTGCAGACAGAAAATCCATGGGGGAAAACACAAAAAAAACAGCAAAAAATATTCCTTTAAAAAAAGCGGCGTTACACCACCAACTCTCCGTGCAAATAATCCCAGCGGGATTGCAAAGTCAAACAACAACAACAACAACCACAACAACCACAACAACAACCACCACAACAACCACAACCACCACCACAAGACAAATTTCGATTTTTTTAAAAGCTTTTCGTGACTTGCAGGGATTCATCATCTTTGGTTATATTCGGTAAAGTCACCACGTAGGTATTCCTTCAAAAAAAAAGCAGCGTTACACCACCAACGCTCCGTGTAAATAATCCCAGCGGGATTGCAAAGTCAAACAACAACAACCACAACAACAACAACCACCACCACCACAAGACAAATTTCGATTTAAAGCTTTCGTGACTTGCAAGGATTCATCTTCTTTGGTTCTTTCGGTAAAGTCACCACCACGTAGAATGAGAATAAAATAATAAATTGATAAAATAAAATAACGCGATAAAATTCTCACGACGTTTCGGCCACAACACAAGGGGCCTTCATCAGGTGAAGGGACGAGACTGTCTGGAGGACAGCGCTGGAGCGAACACAGCCAAGCTCTGACCGCGACCTTTAAGCTGTGTGAGAAGAAACAGAGCGCCTTGACAAAGGAATTAGCATAGAATTTAGCATTGAAATTGCTGAGTGATTAGCTTGTGACTGGTCACAGAAATGGCTATGTTAAAGTTAAAGCCTACACATCCACAGAGGCACCTAGTAAAAATCAAACAGGAGAATTTAGCATTGAACTAATTGAGGGATTAGCTTGTGACTGGTCACAGAAATAGCTATGTTAAAGTCAAAGCCTACACATCCACAGAGGCACCTAGTACAAATCAAACAGGATAATTTAGCATTGAAATGGCTGAGTAATTAGCTTGTGACTGGTCACAGAAATGGCGATGTTAAAGTCAAAGCCTACTCATCAACAGATGGACCCCTTGGCAAAGGAATTAGCATAGAATTTAGCATTGAAATAGCTGAGTGATTAGCTTGTGACTGGTCACAGAAATGGCTATGTTAAAGTCAAAGCCTACACATCCACAGAGGCACCCCTTGACAAAGGAATTAGCATAGAATTTAGCATTGAAATTGCTGAGTGATTAGCTTGTGACTGGTCACAGAAATGGCTATGTTAAAGTTAAAGCCTACACATCCACAGAGGCACCTAGTAAAAATCAAACAGGAGAATTTAGCATTGAACTAATTGAGGGATTAGCTTGTGACTGGTCACAGAAATAGCTATGTTAAAGTCAAAGCCTACACATCCACAGAGGCACCTAGTACAAATCAAACAGGATAATTTAGCATTGAAATGGCTGAGTAATTAGCTTGTGACTGGTCACAGAAATGGCGATGTTAAAGTCAAAGCCTACTCATCAACAGATGGACCCCTTGGCAAAGGAATTAGCATAGAATTTAGCATTGAAATAGCTGAGTGATTAGCTTGTGACTGGTCACAGAAATGGCTATGTTAAAGTCAAAGCCTACACATCCACAGAGGCACCTAGTACAAATCAAACAGGAGAATTTAGCATTGAAATAGCTGAGTGATTAGCTTGTAACTGGTCACAGAAATGGCTATGTTAAAGTCAAAGCCTACACATCCACAGAGGCACCTAGTACAAATCAAACAGGAGAATTTAGCATTGAAATAACTGAGGGATTAGCTTGTGACTGGTGACAGAAATAGCTATGTTAAAGTCAAAGCCTACCCATCCACAGAGGCACCTAGTACAAATCAAACAGGAGAATTTAGCATTGAAATAACTGAGGGATTAGCTTTTGAATGGTCACAGAAATGGCTATGTTAAAGTCAAAGCATACACATTCACAGAGGCACCTAGTACAAATCAAACAGGATGATTTAGCATTGAAATAACTGAGGGATTAGCTTGTGACTGGTCACAGAAATGGCTATGTTAAAGTCAAAGCCTGCACATCCACAGAGGCACCTAGTACAAATCAAACTGGAGAATTCAGCATTGAAATAGCTGAGTGATTAGCTTGTGACTGGTCACAGAAATGGCTATGTTAAAGTCAAAGCCTACACATCCACAGAGGCACCTAGTACAAATCAAACAGGAGAATTTAGCATTGAAATAGCTGAGTGATTAACTTGTGACTGGTCAAAGAAATGGCTATGTTAAAGTCAAAGCCTACACATCCACAGAGGCACCTAGTACAAATCAAACAGGAGAATTTAGCATTGAAAAATATTTGAGGGATTAGCTTGTGACTGGTCATAGAAGTAGTTATGTTAAAGTTAAAGCCTATACATCCACAGAGGCACCTAGTACAAATCAAGCAAGAGATTTTAGCATTGAAATAGCTGAGTGATTAGCTTGTGACTGGTCACAGAAATGGCTCTGTTAAAGTCAAAGCCTACACATCCACAGAGGCACCTAGTACAAATCAAACAGGAGAATTTAGCATTGAAATAACTGAGCGATTAGCTTGTGACTGGTCATAGAAATGGCTATGTTAAAGTCAAAGCCTACACATCCACAGAGGCACCTAGTACAAATTAAACAGGAAAATTTAGCATTGAAATGGCTGAGTGATTAGCTTGTGACTGGTCACAGAAATGGCTATGTTAAAGTCAAAGCCTACACATCCACAGAGGCACCTAGATCAAGGCCATCAATCTAAC